ATCAACATTGTAATTATGAATCACGACTGTGTCAAAGTTCAGCAAACTCAGCAAGTTAGTGAGGACTTTTGTGATGTACAGTATCATTGTGGAATAAACATTTATTCAAATGTTCCATGAATGAATCCATTTTGATAAGTGCTCTGGGACGCTACCCTGTGTGCAGGGTGTTATATAAATGCAAGTTGTTGTTGATACACATCTAAATGTAACAACAACAACTTGCACTTACATAGCGCACTCCACTCAGGGTAGCGTCTCAGAGTGCTTGATAAGGATTCTAATTTAAAATAATGCAAGATTTGTTCCTTTAGACTGTAGAAGGGTTGCAAAAACTAGGAGGGGAAAGAGGTTCACAGTATTGAGCTTCTGAGTTATGCATTAGACAGCAGTTTGCAATGGGATTCAGTGACAGTGACGCAAAGCTTTCCGTGCACAATAGAATCAAAACAATTGTTACGTATCACAAACCGTGTTTAAATCAAAATAAGTATTGCAAAATACCAAAACGTGTTTAAGTCGGTCTCTCTACTTAAATAAATGCTCCTGATCCTTTTCATCCACAACAGGGTTTATCTGTCTCTTGTTCACAAAATCTCAGAAGGGGGACTCACTTGTTTCTTTAAATGCAAGCCAGACCAGACCAGTTATACAATATACTTGGTAAAGAGTTCATGGATCTTTTTGTCTGTGAGGAACCAGTTTAAAAGCTTTCTACACTATACTGCTGTAGACGTATGTTTATTTAAAAATGCTTTAACGTCGTGGATAAAAACCTACATGTTTCCCTACTTAGAACCCACTGCTAATCTTGGACAGTGTCATGTGTTAAGATGTCTGGAATTTAGTTTGACAGGCGATCTGGATTGTCCCAAGGATACAGTCCACCATTAGAGGAAAAATCGAAAGATTACTAAAGGTAAGTTTCTAGGTCATTATCTTGGGTAACCTAGATACTTCATTTACATCAGAATGGCTTCTAGAGTAAAAATAAATGGAAACTGTTTACACTATAAACAGAAATGCGACAATAATGAAATCGGGACAGCCTGACCAAGGGCAGAACTTGGAACAATTCTTCTAAGGCTTCAAATGTTTTTGGTTTTATTCCGAGCTGTGGGGTTTTGGATCTTGTTCCATTGCGGTTTTAGGAGATGGACATGTGATTGCTTTTGCATCCAGAATGCTGTGGATTTTTTTTTGTGGATTTTATTTTAGTATGCCCGAATCCACCAGTATGGCGGAGGAGAAGACTTTTAAGATGTTTGGCATTTTTTTAGGTTTGTTGAGAATTTTCTTTTAAAAAAATGGGGAGGACGTATCTTCCTTACCAAAAATGAAATCATTTTTGTTAAATAGACTGATGTTAGCGGCTAGCTTTTCAAGGTAAAGGAGACGGCAAGTCTTTTCTGAGGTTTTTTTGCTAACTCAATGTGCACTTCTGGAAGTCTTGCAAATGCACTCAAATTTTATGTAAGTGGCCTCATGGTATCCTAATAATTTACTGAGTTCTTACTCCAGAAATGAGTGTCAGCCTGACTCAGTTGGTAGCACTGAAACTCCAGTGCAATGTTGACGGGACCTCAGTTTAACGTCTTAACCGCCGGTATAATGCAGCACTTCCCCCAGCTCTGCATTGGAGTGTTATATGAGTTCCAAGTCCCAACGTGGGGCTTGAACCCACAAACTTCTGACTCGCAGGAGAGTGCTACCAACTGAGCCAAGCTGACACACGCTCAAATTGCCCTTGACGGTCAACCAGTTTGCGTGTTTGCAGGTGCCCTTCTCGAGTGCGACTGGAACATGTGCCATGGGCTATCACACTCTAGTACCGGCTGACTTAATGAAGCAGCAGTTTTCATTTAGCTGTCCATCTGTGAACATATGTAGTCAGAGGAGCACATATTGAGAGACTTTGAAGGCAATCAGCTTCCAGGCATCTACCAATACCTTACACTGTGAAGTAGAATCAGTCGTGCATGTTTAGGAATGAAATTGATTGACATGCCCTCCTTTCCTCTTTTATCCCTTTCCCCTCTTTTTTTTCTCAGGAGAGTTCTCTCATCTGTGTTGCAAGCTAAAATGATGATGATGATGATAATAATCCTTGCATTTGATATAGCGCTTTATAGCATATAGCGTCGACAGCATTAACCTCGCCCTGTCATCTGGCACTGTTCCTTTCCCCCCTCAAAGCAGCCATTATTACCCCCACCTTGAAGAAACCTTCCCTTGACCCTTCACAGTTATCCAGCTACCGGCCCATCTCAAATCTCCCTTTGCTATCCAAGGTCCTTGAGAGAGCTGATGCCTTCCAGCTTCGCTCTTTCCTCTCCTCTCACTCCCTCCATGAACCCCTCCAATCGGGTTTCCGTGCTGCACAGTCAAGGAAACTTGACGTGATGAAGGTCACAAATGACATGCTGACCATGTGTGACTAGGGCTCCCTCTGTCTCCTCGTCCTCCTCGACTTTTACGCTTCCTTTGACACCGAGAACCACTCAATCCTCCTCCACCACCTCTCCTCCCACCTCAACCTTCAAGGTTCTGTCCTTGACTGGTTCAGGTCCTACTTTCACACCGCCTCCACTTCGTTGCAGCAAACGGCTTCTCCTCCAGCCCCGCACAGTCTTGTGCGGTGTTCCTCAGGCTCTGTCCTCAGTCCCCTCCTCTTCACCCTCTACATGCTCCCCCTTGGTGACGTCATCCGCAGACATGGGGTAAATTTCCACATGTATGCGGATGACACCCAACTCTATCTCTCTACCTCCATCCTGAACTCCAGGACTACTGGCGTCCTGACCGACTGCCTGTCCAACATCAAGTCCTGGATGAGGGCCAACTTTCTCCAACTCAACGTCAGGAAGACCGCAGCCCTCCTGATTGGCTCGCGCCAGCGCCTCCGCACCTCGGGCACTGGCAGCATCAGCCTCAACGGCTGCACACTCAACCTCACTAAGCCAGTCAGGAACCTGGTTGTCTTGTTTGACCCTGAACTGTCCTTTCTCCCCCACATCCGCGCTATGTGGAGTCCTGTAGCTCAGTGGTTAGAGCACTTGCTTTGCAAGTGAGAGACCTGAGTTCAATTCCCGGCAGAGGGCGAAACCTTGGGCAAGTTTCCTTACTCCACACAGAGCCTAATAATAATCCCTCCAAAACCCAAAACAATAATAAATTGGTCATTTTCAATCTACGACTGTTTGTGGGACATTGCTGTGCGCAATTGGCTGCCGCGTTCGCCCACAAATGTACAGTCAATTCACTTTACAGTGTGTTCTGTGAAGCGCTTTGGGACGTCCTCCCGACGTGAAAAGCGCTATATCAAATGCAAGGATTATTATTATTATGACCGGCACTGCCAACCACCACCTCCGCAACATTGCCAGACTCCGCCACTGCCTCACCCCTCAGGCTGCCCAAACCCTCACCCACGCATTCGTCACATCAAGGCTCGATTACGGGAATTCCCTCCTCATCGGCCTTCCCAACTCTTCCCTTCACAACCTGCAGATCATCCAAAACTCTGCAGCTCGTGTACTCTCACACACCAGGCTCCGTGACCCCATCACTCCCACCCTCGCCCGACTCCACTGCCTCCCCATCCCCCAGAGGATCGAGTTCAAGATCCTCGTCCTCACCTTTAAGGCCATCCATGGCCTCGCCCCCTCCTACCTCACTGACCTGCTGACTCCCTACCAACTTGTCCGCTCTCTCTTGTCATCGGGCTCCGGGCTGCTCCATGTCTCCCTACCGACCCGCCCTACCATCGGTGGCCGGGCTTCCAGCCTCTCTGCCCCCACACTCAGGAACTCCATCACACGGTCCCTTCGCCTCACTTCCTCCCTCGCCTCCTTCAGGGCCGGTCTCAAGACCCTTCCCTTCGACTGTGCCTTCCTTCACCCCTACACCGCCCCCCCTTCCCCCTCCCCTGTGCTTGGGCCCCGACACCTGACTGTCCTCCCAACGTGAAATGCGCTCTACAATTGTAATTTTGCTGTTGTTAACACATCGTTGAGATGAACTCTCCTTCTGAGAAAAAAATCAAGAGCTGTAGTAAATCATACCATGTGTTGATGCGCATTGCCAAGACATTAATAATTAATAATAATAATCCTTGCATTCTTTGAGACGTCAAAATGTACTGTAAAGTGAATTGACTGTACATTTTGTGGGTGAAACGCGGCAGCCAATAGCGCACAGCGGTGTCCCCACAAACAGTCGTGGATTGAAGTAACCGATTTATTATTAATTATTAATTGTGGTGCAATGCACAACTTCTCACTTCTGGGTCAGAAGAAATTGGCCCCCCGCCTGCCCGCGTCTCCCCTCCCCCTCCCCCCCCCCCGGGTCTCATCCCCCCCCCCAAGTCTCCCCCCCCCCCCCCCCCCCCCGGGTCTCCCCTCCACCCCACCCCCCACCCCGCATCCCTCCAACCTGCTCTCTCTCCCTACACCGCTCCTCCTCCTGGTGCCCCGGACCCCCCCCCCGCCCCCCCCATCGCCGGCCGCGCTTTCAGCCGCTACTCCCCAAAGCCGCGGAACTCTCCCCCTCAATCCCCCTCCCGGCCTTTTGCGCCCCTCCCCCTTCGCTCCCCGTCTTCAGACCTTGACCTCTTTGGCCGCCTCCCGGGTCAGGGTCAGCGCTCGGAGACGCTGTCCGGCCTGGAAGGTGGTGGGGAGGGGGGGAGGGGGGCTCTGATCAATGCAAGTTGTTGTTGTGGTGGTGGTGGGGTCCGCGCATGCGCCGTTGGAGTTCGTACCCACCCGCCGCCGCCGCCGTCGTCGTGGTGGTGGTGGTGGTGGGCGACGTCGACGAGTTTGGGCGGGTTTTCACGCCCAATCGGGCGATTTTTTTCGGTGGGAGGGGGGGGGGGGGTGTCACTTCTAAATTGGGCTACTGTGCCGCCGCTGCTGAAGGGAAGTGAGGAGGGGGGGTGTGATAGGTGACAACCGGGCTACTTTTGGGGCGGGTTTGGTGGGACTTTGGGCTACAAACGGGTGGGTGCGCGGGGTGGGGGGGGAAACCCCGCGGGCTGACGAGGGAGGCGCGAGCGGCTGTCGTCCGTTAGTCCGTTGGTCTATTCCCCTCACAAGTTTGACCGCGGGCTTCTCGCGGGCGACTTTTCTGACGGCTCCAGCAACAGGAGGGAAGAGTTTGGGGTTTTTTCTTTTTAAGACAATATAGATAGGGATATATATATATATACTTTATGTGAAGAAGTAGTAGTAGTCAAAGAAGAAGAAAGGAGAGTGAGAGAGAGAGAGAAAGAAAGAAGAGTGTCGGAGTCCGGTTGGAAAAGACGTCGGGAGAGAGGAGGAGAAATAACGGTTAGAACTCGTTCCCCTTTTCCGTGTTTGGCCGCGCGACCCTTTTTTTTTAAACGTTGTTTTAATGACTTTTTTTTTACATCGTGTGAGGGGAGGGGGGAGGGGAGGGGAGGAGGGAGAAGAAAAGAAAAGAGAGAGAGAGAGAGAGAGAGGAAATTTGGTGGTTTCCGAAAAAAAAATCTGTGGAGACGAATTCTAGACACAGGGAGAGAGAGAGAGAGGGAAAGAGTTGGCGTTGAAATAAGAATGAGCTCAAATAAATAATAATAATAACCGTTCATTAATTTATTTTCAAAGAAATCCTAATCTGTTTTTTTGAGGGGGGGGGGAACCCTAGAAAGTTTCTGGAGAGGAGGAGGGAGAAAGAAAGAAAGAAAGAAAGAAAGAGGAATTTGTGCCCTATTAGTTAAGTGTTAAAACAATGATCATTATATATAATATATGTATACAATAAGTATATGTATTGTATGTACTTAAAAATATCCTGATCTGTTTAAAACTTGACAGTCTCTGGAGAGGAGAAAGAAAAAGAGAGAAGGGGAATTTGCGCCGAGTTGAGCGTTAAAATAATGAGCTTAAATATATATTATATATGTGTGTGTGTGTGTAATAAATACGTATTGAAAGAAATCCTTATCTGTTAAAACAAGACAGTTTCTGGAGCTGGAGGGCGAAGAAAGAGAGAAGGAAATTTGCGCCCAAGTTTGAAAGGAAAGGCTGCGGGAGGGAGGAAGTTAAAAACAATGTAATGATTGTAATAATAATAATAATAATAATCCTTGCATTTGATGTAGTGCCTTACTTATCAAGTCGTTGAAACGCCTCAAAGTGCTTCACAGGATAATACCATACCGTACTGTAAAGTGGACGGTCTTGGCCGAGACTGTGCGTTTTGTGGGGCGCGAACCATCCTTTAGTCCCGCTCTCGGACCATGTTTAAATTGGGTTAAGTTCCCATTGTTGTGATCGTCTGTCTTCTGATTGTAATGGGTGAGTGTGGACGAAGAAACGCGCTGCTTCGCTGTCCCAGTGAGCCGAAAGATTTAAGCCACAGATATTTCACAGGTTTAATATCCGGTCATTCTCTCTTGTTTTCTCCCCTTCCCCTCCCAAGTTATTTAAACTTGTGTACAAGTGGTAATGCTGTCTTGAGAGAAGTCTACGCATCATACCGGTGTCTCCTACTATTAGTCTTTTAGGTCTAGGCATAGGAGTCACTGGTATGATGCGCAGGCTTTTTGAATTAAAGTAAGAGGTTGTCATGATGGCCATCATTTGTGGAGTCCTGTAGCTCAGTTTGCAAGTGAGAGACCTGAGTTCAGTTCCAGGCAGAGGGCGAAACCTTGGGCAAGTTTCCTTACTCCACACAGAGCCTAATAATAATCCCTCCAAAACCAAAAACAATAATAAATTGGTCATTTTCAATCCACGACTGTTTGTGGGACATTGCTGTGCGCCATTGGCTGCCGCGTTCGCCCACAAATATACAGTCAATTCACTTTACAGTGTGTTCTGTGAAGCGCTTTGGGACGTCCTCCCGACGTGAAAAGCGCTATATCAAATGCAAGGATTATTATTATTATCAATGTTTCTAAACTTATATTTGTGTTCACAAGTATTCTAATTTGCTATGAGTAATACCTTCCCCACTCGCGTCAGATTCCAGATTGGTGGTTTGGGGATTATCACTGACTTTTGAAATTGGCATTCTGATAGTGCCTTCCCTAGAAGATTCCCACTTGGCACTAGATATCCGAGTATATTTAACTATCTGTTTGCGCACTTCCGGTGGAACATGTAAATTCAAACTATTTAGAAAAAGGAAAATCTATTTATTTGTATTTCTGAATCAGATAGCTGGAGAACATTTCTTAAAATGTATCTTCTGTCTTGCTCCTTAAGATAGGTTGATATCAACAAGTCTGAGGCACTCCTGCTTGACTCACAACTGCTTTCTCCCCACCTCCCTCTCCCCCTGACTCGCTGGGACCCTACACCGTGTGGAAGGCTCTATATAAATGCGAGTTGTTGTTGGTGGTGGTTTCTCACTTCAGGCATTGAAAACATTGACCTGGAAAGGTGCTTACTCTCGATGCCTTGCTTCAAACTTCATATGCAGCCGCTCACTGAGGTCGATTTGGCTGCCTGGAATTCCATGCTATTGTCCCTCTTGTCTCCTACCTCTCAGTTTTTCTCTTTGATCATGCTCTAACAATTCCTGCTTTTTCTCCCCCCAGTCTCCCCAAAAGTCCTTTGAAACATGAAAAATACAATTAAAAATGGTAATTGTCTTAACAGTTCTTTAACTGATTTTTCTTAAGCAAGAACCATGGTAGATTGCTTGAGTCATAGAAAATTAAATTTATTTTATTGCACATGTTTCTAAGATACCCCAAATTCCAATTTGCATTCAATGAGAAAAGTCTATTTCTTGTGAATGCAATGCCTATAATTTGATTAATATGCTTGATGTAATATGGGAACTGATTGTTCTGCTGTCATTAGTAACACCATGGATCTTTGTTACAGTTTGTTAAAGCCCAAAGTCGGTTAACAGTGTCAGTGATGGCATTCTAGACATTCTCATATCCTGAGACGGGTCTAAGACTGTCTTTTTAGTGCTAATATGTGAGAGCAGCTAATCATTCAGGAATAGATTAGTATTTTATAAGCTAATCGTTACTTTCCACGGTGATGCAGCTGTACTAACTGTGAAACACCCTACAACAATTGTACTATTTGCTTTTGATTTATTCTCGGACCCCCCACCACCACCGGATAGCCACTCGTTAGTCATTTGATATCTGACAAGTGTAATTTTGAGCCCACACTATGCAGATAGTAGGTGCCAAAAACTTCTTGGTGAGCAGCACAGCTCAACATGAAATGCGTGAGCATTGCCATCATCTTCCTACCAATAGTTCTGGCATGCATCGCTACCCATTGAGTTTTGGGCATGGTAAAGGCATAGATGAGGATCTTGGAAGCTCGATAATGGTAGAGGCAATGTTTGAGATGAGAGCGCGAGTAAGAGCATGGACGTGGGGTTTGAAAGGCAGTCTGTAGTCGAACACGACACAGAGGTTCTACTCCGCAAATTGGAGTGCGTCCATACAGTTTGATGATGAGACGACATTGTCGAAAGTATTTTTAACTAAAACAGCTACAAGAGAGTACTGTGCTCATTGCCCATCAGACTTACATTATTAACTTCTGACATTTCTAGCTCTCTTCCCTCAACCAGCCCCTCCCATCTCCACTTCCTCTCAGACTACTGTAGTAATGGAATTTTTGTCTCCAAATCCCTTGACCAATCTTCTGTACATGAAAGAAGAGTGATAATGAAGCATACATATGGTTCTCTGTGCATGCAAGTATTGTCTTGTATCGTGACCCTTCTCTTCTCCACCCCCTGGCCTCCCAAGAACAGCTGGAAATTATATGAATGAATGAACTATCCCAGGCCCTTTGTTTGGGATAAATACAATTTCCATGTGAAAAGGCATGACATTGTGTCCAGCTGGAAAAAAATAAACTGTAGGTCAGACCGCAGTTGCCTGCTGTCTCAATTCAATGTGTGTTTGTTTGCAATGGAGAGGACATGCTTAGCAATTCCTGAAGTAGGCTATTGCACTAGAAATGGAAAGGACTGGATTCTAATCCTGAAGTTAACATTGAGAAGTTTCTGATGTGTTGCATTTGTCTGTTGGCTTTAATTTTATACTTTTTATGTTTACCTTTTTGTAACCTAATTGACTGTAATATTTACAGTGAACTTCGGATGATAATGCAAGGATTATTATTATAAGACTGGCTTATATCAACACATGGCTTATATCCTCATGCTGGCCGCTTCCCAAGTAAAATGTGAATAAGGACCCCCCCCCATTTATATCATCACTTTATGCTATAAAAGTATGCCAGGAAGTAAAATATCGGATACATTATCGGAACAAACTTGCATGCATCGTTCAGCGATGAGAGGCCGAGCGCCCACAGCAGAAGCTCACCCTCAGCCAGTAAACATTGCAGCCCCTTTCCTCCCAGCACTACATTGGAATGGTAGTCTGGACTGCATAAGTTCAAAGTCCTGACATGGGGCTTGAACTACTTCCTCTGACTCAGAAGGGAGAGTGCTAGCAACTGATCTAATGGAAAATATCTCTTTTGTTCCAGGACCTGAGACAAAAGCTTATTGAACAACATGAGCTGGAGTTTTCTAACCCGTTTGCTGGAAGAAATTCATAATCATTCCACGTTTGTCGGCAAGCTGTGGCTGACTGTTCTCATTGTTTTCCGCATTGTGCTCACTGTAGTTGGAGGAGAATCCATCTACTACGATGAACAGGCAAAGTTTGTTTGCAATACAGCACAACCAGGTTGTGAAAATGTCTGTTATGATGCCTTTGCTCCCCTATCTCATGTTCGATTCTGGGTTTTCCAGATAATACTAATCACAACTCCATCTGTAATGTATCTGGGTTACGCTATCCACAAAATTGCTAAAACAGAAGAAGATGAAGAGCGGAAGAAAAAGAAGCCTGTTTATGCTGTGCGGTGGAAACAGCACCGTGCTTTGGAGGAAGCAGAAGAAGATGCCATTGAAGATCCCATATTATATCCAGAAATAGAGATAGATAATGAAAAAGAGAATAAAGACCAGAAGAAAATGCATAAGCATGATGGTAGATGTCGAATTAAAAGGGATGGTTTGCTGAAAATTTATGTTTTTCAATTGCTTGCAAGGACTGTCTTTGAGTTGTGTTTTCTTATGGGCCAATATATTCTATATGGCTTTGAAGTGAGTCCAAAATACGAATGCGAGAGGAAGCCATGCCCTCACCACGTAGACTGTTTTGTGTCAAGACCAACAGAAAAAACTATCTTTCTTTTAATAATGTATGGTGTCAGCTGCCTATGTTTGTTCATCAATGTCTGGGAAATGATTCATTTGGGATTTGGAACCATAAGGGATATAATCCAAGTCAAACAACAATCTGTTGCAGAATGTTCTTATAACTACCCGTACACGTGGAACACTCCTTCAGCCCCACCAGGTTACAATATCGCAGTCAAATCAGATCAGATTCCATACACAGAAATTTCCAATGCTAAAATGGCTTACAAGCAAAACAAAGCAAATATTGCTCAAGAACAGCAGTATGGTGGTAGCAATGATGAAAATCTGCCGGTGAGCCTGGAAAATGTGCAGAAGCAGCTGAAATTGGCCCAGGAACGTTTGGACATGGCTTTTCAGATCTATAACAGTCGGACCAGTGCTTGTAACCACTCCAAAGACAAAAAAGGAGGATCAAACAAAAGTAGCAATAGTAGCAAATCTGGAGATGGGAAAACTACAGTGTGGATTTAATGTTAGCCTTGTTGACAAACTGGTTTCAACTGCATACACTCCTTTGCAGAGGATAACTTTACAAATGCAGACAGTTGTTCCAGATCAAAAGGCATTTTCTTTTGCAAAACTGTATTTTGTTTGTTATTCTATGGAGATGTGCATTGAAGATTGTTGACCTAGTTTTATTTCCAGAAATCTGCTCAGTGTAACAATTGAGTTAACTAGAAAGGTGCATATATAAGTCCTTTTCCTTCTGGTTACCATGTAGACCAGTTTGTTAGCCATACTTGCTGCATAAACAAAAAGGTGCCTTTTCCAGGATAGGAATGAGACAGAATACAGGTAAGTGGGCCAGCCTCAACTGTAATTTGTGTTGCAGAGCCGTGGAATTAATAATTTTGTGTAGGGGTCAGATTTGAAAAAAAAAGATTAGGTCCTGCAAAATGTAAATAGACTACTTCCAAAGTGAGTTACGCATACAACAGCTATGTGGAAGTTAATCAGCACAAATGGTGATTTTAAAATGGTCGGCCAGATTTTTCAACATCTGGAGAATAGTGGATCCCTTCTCTTTCTCCCTCATTCCCAGGATTGAGAGAGATTGTGATATTAGCAGATCATCCTTGGTATAAAAAAATTAACGAAAAATGAATCTGCTTTTTGATCCTTTGTTGGTATGTAATGCGTTAGCGTAAAGAGCTTTCTTTTTTGCATTTACTTGCGATCATGAAGGCCCTATCCATGTATTTATTTGAACACATTGTGGTGTGATAAGGAACACGTTGTGGTGTGACAATGAGGCCATGGTCTACAATTATTGATAGAAAATTGGTATGAGATAAAGGCCCCAACAAGAGTTTACATTAAAATAGTTTTCTTGGTGGAAAATACAGTGAAATTAAATCAAAAGTGTAAACCTTGCTGTAGAACTGTCAAACCATTTGAATAATTCTGTTATATTAAAACTAACGTTGGGATTAACATGGTGCCTTAGGTAGAAAGGTTTCTTGAAGGAAGATATTTATAGAGCCTCTTATTTTATATACCCTTCGTCCTACTGAAAACTTCAAAGCAATACTGTCTGATATCATATTGAGCTTCCTTGTCTTTCAAAAACTAAACGTTTTTTTATTTTTTTTGTTCATTAAATGAATAAACCTTTCTAAAGGCATGTTTTTTTAAATAGTTTGAAATTATGAATAAGGTAGTGTAATAACTTTTACAATAGTCTAAATAGGAAAAAGGAAATTTGTGTTGTAAAGTCTCTATAGGTCATTTTTGGTGGTGTTTTTCGGTTTATAATCCAATTTGAGGTTAACCACCAACAAATTAAGGTTCTTTTGTTCAAAAAACGACTTGGGGCCAAATTTACTTTGTTTTTTTTGCGTTAAATGAAATCGCCAGTGTTCGATTCAGTTACAAGTAAGTTTCAGTTGAATTGCATTGAAAGTAAATGCTATAAAACCATTGCAAAAGTTTGTTCCAGCTTCAAATTTTGAAAGGAATGAGTTTATTGTCCAAAATAAATCCTGCCCTGTAGGTTGAGGAAGTGGTTTGTTTATTCCTCAGAACATCCTGAGCATGAGTGCTGGCTATCAACTTATTGAGGTTTATCACGTCTCTTGATGGTCACAAGTGGCATGACATAATATAGAAATTTATGAGATGCACTGCGTTCTTTCCACTGTCTGTTTCGTTAGCCACCAATAAACACAAATGTGAAGTTATATTTTTACAAATATCAAGTCTGTATATCATATGCCACTTTTGCATACTTGTTTTTTTTAATTGATTTATATAGTACTTGTTTAGCAAGTTGAGGAGAGTGCCAAATGAAGAATTTCTCTCACCTTGGTGAGCACTAGTAAGCTGCCTTGTGAATCTTTGCAGTACAGTATAAAACAAACACTCAGTGCCTTTCTTTTTTTTAAACCTGTTGAAAGGGACATTATGCTACATTCCAAACTTCATAAAAGATGTATTTTTTTTCCAGCTGAAAATGTTTATGAACATGTGTATATAGTAAATAAACAATGACATTGTACATTGTACTTTATACATTGTACTTTGCAGTTATGCCTGTCGTTGCATCCTCTATGCAAATTGTACTTAATTTGTATGGTAGGATGAGTGCTTAAAAAAACGTCTGAAGGTTGGAAATATCTTTTTTGTATTGAAGACTTAACTGTTTTTGTGCATGTTTAGAAAAAAAGCATTTGCTACAAATAGATTTTTTTTTCTATGATGTCTGTTGCTTCCTTTTATTGTAGTAAAGTGAGTAAATCTCAAAAGGTATTTTTTTAATGCACCCTCTTCCCAGCACTCACATTGAGGATTCTGAATCCATTACGTTTCTATGCCCCATTTTTCAATAGCCAATACGAGTCAAACACAGTAAGAATTTTTTTTATTGAATACAATGTCATATGTTGTCAATGCCTTAAAGAGCTTTACAGCAAATTGTAGGCAAATAAGGCAGTCAATTTATACACAGTATTATCCCGCAAATAACCATTATGTAAATGACCATTTATTTGGGGGATTATTGGCTAGGACACATTCTCTTTTTTGAATGCCATGGGTTCTTTAATATCTACCTGTGTAGGCAAGACTTTGGGTTAACATCTCAATTATATGACAGCATCTCTAACAATGCAGCTGTCCCTCCGACTTGTCCCTCTCCCTCACCTCATTCAAGGTGCATCTCAAGACCGAAAGGCGCTATACAAAATGTAATTTTGTTGTTGCTCCTATTTGATTGCGCATTTAGTCACTATTGACCCTTGGCGGCCACCCCAAGCTCAGGTGCTAAGCAGGACTATCAAACGCCGCTTTGGATGTCCTCCTAATGCAAAATGCACCATATAAATGTAAACTTCTATTGTTACAATATTATTGATGGTTTAGGTTATTTTGATAGCTTAAGACAGACAACCTTATGTTTTTGGACTAGAACAGATTTTAGTTGCATAGATTTACATTACTAAACTGCTGGGGGTTAAAGCTTACTTTTAATTCATTTAAATAATTTAAGTGTGTAATTTGAGTCATATACTCTACCCATTTGGAGGTGAAAATAGATTCAATGTTTTTGAAGGACTTTGTTTGTCTACAGTGGCAATTACTCTGTCTCTATATTCCCTGAATAATTTACTGTGATTCTTCAGTTATCAAGGAATGTTATTGATGTGTATTCAAGTGATGTTTCTTTGAGCGTTAACTAGATCTTAGAATGTTTCTTGTAATCAGAATTTTTCCGGTGCCCATTTTAGTTTCCCATCTTTATTGTTATGACTATGTCTGAAGACTAGACTTTGCTTTACCATTTATGGCGAAATATTTTATGAAAGTACTCCACAGCGAGTAGTTCCCACTTCACTGTCTAAACTCAGATTGAAACAAATATTTTGATTTGGTTAGGCCTTGGGGAATACTTTAATAGTCACTAGTACAATCAGACATGTGGCTTCTAAAATATAAAACCAAGCTGGTCCAATGGAGAATAAAAGGATAATTATGAAGACAAGTCATGGTCAGATGGAGTGGGTAAAGACTGCAGTAATGTACAATGATTGCAGATTATAATCCCTATCTCTTCTGCATTGTCTGGTCTCAGCACTTGGGGCTGTACATTTGGCGTCAATGATGGTATAACTTCAGCCACTCTGATCCCACTTTCTGAACTCCATCCCTCTCTCCACCTTCAAAACCTGCCTTTAGACCTATCTCTTCGAGAATGCTATGACCACCTTTCTCTTAGGTGCACAGACTATTGTGTGAAGCATTTTGAGAGATGTTGAAGTCTCTATATAAATGTACATTTTGGGCAATGTAATATACTTTAGCTATATGTATGTGGCGTGTGTGCTATTGGTATTCTGTGCACGCACTGCGTAGTTCTTAACAATGAGTCACAGGGTAGAAGGGTCCAAGATCCATTGTCTTCCAAGTATTTGATCTCAGTTCAGGGAAGGGAACTTCAGTTGACTCATTGTTTCTACTTTGTGAAAAGGGAAGCAAAATTGCCTGTACTTCCTGCTTTCTGATTGTTATCCAGTTTGGTGGAAAATACAGGTTGATAGATATTTTGTAATTGCAACAACACTGCAGCAGTAGGATAAGACTAACCTATCTCACTTTAAAGCCTTCTGCAGTCTTGCTCCTCCCTTCCGCTGTGACCTACTAAAAATTTACCAACCTGTGCCTATTGAGGAACTGAGGGCACTGGCCTGCCCCATGGACTTGCCCACCCTGCCATCCTCTTTGGTCATGCCTTTGGTCATCATTCCACTTCCATTCCCCTTGCCCTCCACCCAGCTCGGGTACAAACCCTCAACTGCCTTTGATGTCCTCACGTTGTGAAAGGGGGTATATAAATGCAATTTGTTGTTTCGCGACTGTCTAAATCCGGGTCAAGTCCCTATTCCAGGCAATCACACACTAAATCACTTAAAATAATCTTTGCATTTGATATAGCACCTTGTGTCACCGAGACATTTCAAAGCGCTTCACAAGATATGCTGTAAATTGGTGCACTGTAATTGTGTATTTTATAGGTGAACCCAGAAGCCAATTTGCACACAGCAATGTTCCACAAACAGCCGATTTTATTTGAGGGACAAATCCCTTCTCTTGTCAAATTCAGTCAGTGTCCAGTATTTTTTTTACTGTAACCTGCTGGAACAGTGTTTGTGTGTAAGTAATCTATTACCTGAATGTTTTTGTACAGGTTACATGTGTTTTATTTCCAGGCAAAATTCCACAGGAACGTTCCATGCTGTTTTCTATTTTAATATTCAACTACAGGAACTCGTATGTGATGATAAAAAAACCTTTCGCAATAATTCATGAAAATTTTGCTGCGTAACGGCTTCAAAGGAACTCCATGTTAGTTATTTCTGGCTATTGTGGGAAATAGAGGAAATGGTTTGAAGGACACGGTTCATCAGCCAATTATTACACCAAAGGAATTTGGCACATTGTGCCAATGTTTTTTCTACTGTTCACAGCAAAGTAAAATTGGTCAAGGCAAGGAAACAGAAAAGCAGTGTTGGTATTCATTTTGATTTTATGGAATTATAATCTGTGAAATTGCCTATTAATATACACTAAATCCAGTTAGATACAAAGTCTTCTGTTCTGAATGCCTGTCAAAATCCTTATTTGGTGTTACTTGGCTATTTGATTTATCACGTCATTTAAATGTCTCAAAAGCACATCATTGAAATAGGGGGCGAGGATGAGATTGGATGAATCAAAGGGCTTTCTTCACCCAAATCAATCTTGTAACCCACCAATTAAATGTTAGATGCTACATTTGAAACTACCGCTGCTGGTGTATCAAGTAAACAAAAAGAAGCAGTCTGAACTGCAAAGAGAATATAGAATAGCGTGTTTATTTTTCAGGTTTTAATGCATTTATGCCAAAAGCTTGTAAAAACACAGCATTGAGAGAGAGATTGACTATTTTGGAAGTTTGTCTACATTTTCGTGGGACGTGGACATGGAGAATACGGACTAAAATGTGCTTCATGCTTCTTTGTTAGCCCCAAATCCATCTGAACCAGCATTCCCTCCAAATAAACAATCTTTACAAAACGTACAGTGATGTTATTGAAATATTTACAGAATACCACTGATTATAAGAGGAATTGTCCACACTATACAAGTTAGTACTGAGTTAAGTTTATGTACAACATGAGCTATGTACAATTTACAAGAGCAAGCTGTGCGAAAGTAATTAAACCGAAAGAGGAACTCGCTCCCTTTTTAAAAGAATCAATATTGGTGGCTTTCTAGCAAACTGACTGTGTCAACCTTGAGAAAGTTGCATAATAAGTAGATTTGAGACTCCATTGCTTGGGGAATATTACCACCATCGCAAGGAAATCCAGTGGTATTCCCACCTGAAATCCTTTACAAGTGATTCGCAAAATAAAGGACTGTATGCAATCACATTGTTTGCTAAAATTCACCATCTTTTAAATAGGCTGAGTTTCTTCTAACTTAAACTGGCAACTTGCCCTAAGTCCATTTCTAACCCAGGGAAGGTCAACAGAAATAAAATGCTCAATGTGAT